CCACTAACGCACCCCCCCCCTTACTTCACTAAGTATTGGGAAAGGGATCTAGGACACAAACTCTCAGCGGAACAATGCACAACGGTGTTTACACTCACACACAAAGCCTCCATCTCCACTAAATTCCAAGAAACAGGATATAAAATGCTCTCCCACTGGTACAGGACACCGGAAAAACTCAACACGATGAAAGCCACAAATGACCCAGAATGCTGGAGATGCGGGAGGGAACTGGGATCCCTCTTCCACATATGTATCCCCTGTTCTATTAAAGGTATAATACCCACGTTTTCCCTCCTTTTCTTTCCCCTTCTTTTTCTGTGTTTGATCTTTCCCCTCCTTATGACAAGTACATTTACTTTAGGGGTATAGACCACCGAATGAGCAGGTCTCTACCCTCATATTCGTATGTTTGGTGGATTCCTAGCTTATTTTTTTCTTTTTTGTCTATTTCTTTCCCTGGGGTTAAGCCCCCTATTCCCCTAGTAACCTCTTTGCAGAGCTTAAGGTGTTGGCTGTCTTCCAACACCTTTTACCCTCTGTTTCTTCTCCATAGGATAAAGTCACTTGCAACATTGTGGTACTGGACAAATCTCCTAGTCTTTACTGCATACGGTAAATCCAATATGTAATCCTAAAAATACCTCAAAAGATAGTAGGCACACCTTTAGTATATAGTCTAATAATTTAGACCACACGTCTCTGAAATCAGTCTCTGAGCCTGGTCATGCAGCAAATACGGGGAATCCCCCTGGAAAAGAGTATAAGTCCCTTCTATGCAGCTTAAACGTAACAAACTTAAATGTAGCAATTGAACTGCTGACACTATCGAAATGTATCCAGAAAGAGGTAACTGTCAAAGAATCGTAGTAATAAAGTTACCTATTTCGATCCTAGAAAGGAGTAAATAATAAATACAATTCGGCTCTTTAAATAAGCTAAGTGATAACCTTCCTATCTAGGAAGCTATTGAGGAGAAAAAAGGGGGTCTCCAAAGCTGCTACTAAATGAGCTGGCTAACACTACAAACTACTAGGATAAAGTCATCCCCGGACCAGCAAGAGGTAACTGGGCTGCAAAAGAAGACTTAACCTTATAAAAGAACGTCTACCTCGACCCGCGTTTCAGCGCTCTATGGCGCCTTTTTCAAGAGTGTCTCCGTGCCGGGTATCCACCCGGTCTTTTAAATGAATAAGACCCGCCTCCATATCAGTACGTCATTCAGCCACGCCCACGAGGGACGGAGGCTGCACAGGTACAATTCTAAAAGCTCAAAGCCGGAATACCGATCGTCAATAATAAAAAAGCGATCTATCTGTATCTGGCATTGAATTAACCCTTAAAAGGCAAAGGGTCTTAGAGTGTTAGAAAATGGAGACTCAACAGAGTTCCCCTTCCACTAGTGCAAAGAAAGGATTAAATACTTAAGGATCTGGTTGTCGGCTGACATGTCAGACATCTACCGCATCAACTTCCCGCCCCTCCTCGAACGGATACAGAAGGACCTCGACTCGTGGCAGCTCCCGCACATTACGTGGCTAGGGAGGATCAGTGTCCTCAAAATGAATATCCTCCCGCGAATCCTGTACCTCCTACAAACCCTACCAATCCATATCCCCAAAACCTTCCTAACACAAACCCGTAAAACACTGATGGACTACGTCTGGGCCCGCAAAACGCCGAGACTGAACTTCGTCACCCTCACCAGACCCAAACTACAGGGAGGACTACCCGATATCACAAAATACAGACATGCTATACACCTACAGCGAGTGATCGAATGGACACATGACCCGAAAGACAAACTATGGATCTCCATAGAGGCCAGCTTCTCACAGATACCCCTGACGCTGCTCCCCTGGTTGCCGAAATCCATGGCCGGGAAACTACCAAGGAACCACCCAACCCTAAATGCTACAATGGCAGTCTGGAGGAGACTGGCGACCCACACAGATTTAGCCTCGGAGCTATATTTATGCCCCATATCACACAACCCAAAATTTATCCCTTCATCAGACCCCCACTACACAGCTGCCCTGGGCCTACCGGCCCCCTGCAGATTGAAGGACGTCTACGACCAAGGCACGATTGCGCCCCTGACCACCCTGGTCCCAAATACTCCACACAATATGCTACTACGCTTCAGATACCACCAACTGACGAGGTTTCTGAGAAGCATACCAACCCTAGACTCGGCAATGCGAACGCTCTCCGTGTTTGAGACCATCTGCACGAACCCCCCCACACACAATTTCGATACTGTACCGCATGCAAACCACCACCCCCACTAACGCACCCCCCCCTTACTTCACTAAGTATTGGGAAAGGGATCTAGGACACAAACTCTCAGCGGAACAATGCACAACGGTGTTTACACTCACACACAAAGCCTCCATCTCCACTAAATTCCAAGAAACAGGATATAAAATGCTCTCCCACTGGTACAGGACACCGGAAAAACTCAACACGATGAAAGCCACAAACGACCCAGAATGCTGGAGATGCGGGAGGGAACTGGGATCCCTCTTCCACATATGGTGGTCCTGCCCCCTTATCCAACCCTTCTGGACAGAGGTCCACAAGATACTCACAACCATAACAGAAGAAAACCTGCTCCCCACACCAGAAAAATACCTGCTCCAACTAACACAGATCCCCATCAACAGGTTTAAAAAAATGGCACTCCCACACCTAATGAATGCAGCCTGCAGCCTCATCCCGGGGCACTGGACACAACGCACGGCCCCGACAATCAGAGACTGGATGACGAGGGTGGAAGACATCAGACACATCGAGGAGCTCATCCACTCCGCAACGGGACGCATACAACGCTACCACGATGCGTGGTACCAGTGGCTCCAATGGCTAGCCTCCACCGCACCAAATGCGCGGGCCACACAACACCCGGCAGTGGAGGAAGACGAGACGGCCCTGGCGGAACCGACTGATGATAATACGGAAGCTGGACCATCGACCCAACCAAACCAAGACCATCCCTCCACCCCACCCCCCCCATAAGGCACACTAAAACACATGACCCACCGCCAACAGGCTGACCTAAGAACACGACCTACACGCGTAGAGACCCCCCTCACTTGCGAGACCGACTACACACCACAGCACTCACAAAAGACCCACCATGGCCTGCAAACGCCGGATAAGGGATGAACCACCCCAAGGGATGAACCACGCCCAATCGCCCAATACCCAAGAACACTATTCCATGATATCAGACACCGCCCAACCCTCACAACCCGGAACAGTATCCGCCCGACAGAAACACCCCTGACGCTAACCGGAGCTTTAAACAGACCCAAATAGACACCAGACACACAGGAGACACCCTTACGAGACAACACCCCGACGCGCGACACCCACACGGCCACCACCCACAAACATTAAAGGACAGCGACTAACACCGAAGGGACACCCGTACCAAACACACACAGGACAAAACTAACTGACGGACCCCTCGACCTCCAAACGTCCCACTCCTCGACAACTGCTCCCCATCCTCCGCCCCAACGGATCTTGAACAGGCCTACCTAACAGGGACCCCAAGACTGTGTCTCCCTGCTGCCCACACACCCCCTCCGCCCACCTCCGAAAGCCGTGCTCGGCTTGCCAAATCATATAACTTGACCGACACACCGCCAACAACACAGGAGCCGCTGAAAACACGACGAGTGGCTGCCTCCTAATACTTACCCCATCCAGCAGGCTACCTGTACTAAGGGAATGCACCACATAGCTCAAAATTCCTATACTGTATAACCTATAATGCAAACTATGTCCTTGCATAGACCACAACAAAGCTGTACACTTTACTGACTTGTCCAACAAGGCTATGTGACCTGCTATGAATGCTATTGTACTGACGTTAGATGCTTATCATATGTTAAGAACAATGTCTGCCTTTACAACTCAACCCCCGAACTGGCCTTAATCTGCTGACGGTTGACATTTGAACATGAATGCTTAAAACTGTTAAACAAATGTCTGAACTATTTGACTGCTGGCAGCGTTAGAAGTCAGCGGGCAAATAGGTGAAAAACCTCTGTGTTATTGTCCTGTTGCATTGAGACCTGCGAGTCTCCCGTACACCTTTACTGTAATAATGTTCTACTGTAACTAAAATTCTATGCCTTAATAAAGCCTTGAAAGATAAATAAAATGCATTAACCCAGCCACTTTAAAAAAAAAAAAAAAGAAAAGAAAATGGAGACTCACATAGTCCTTCTGTGTTGCGGACTTTGGTGTCAAGTTGTCATTGTCCCTTAACCCCTTAAGGACCAAACTTCTGGAATAAAAGGGAATCGTGACATGTCACACATGTCATGTGTCCTTAAGGGGTTAAGTCTGCATCTTTTTGTCTTATTGCCATTGAATAAACACTGCATAAAACTGCTGTTCCCACCCCTGATCTTTTTTTCTGTATCCCAAACTTTTTGCACTTCGACAAAAATAAAAATTGCCTAATTAAAAAAAAAAATAATCCCAGGGAGGCTCAGGAACAAGTATTACACATCCATAAAGCAATAATTACAGCAGGCAAAACAATCCACGAATATCCCAATATAAATCCCAATGACTGGACAACCAACAGCATCAGGAGCAGAACTGAACTTTTAATCCACACAACCTTCTTTTAAAGCTTTCTCCCATGCAAGGGAGGGATTTACATTAATCAGTACAGTATCCAATAGGGTAACCAGGGCTCGAGTCCTGCAGGAACGCATGGGAACGGCGTTCCTGCACTTTTTCCAAAGCAGGAACGCCGTTCCCGCTAGTGATCCTGCAGGACCGGCCCTGCTACCTGCACTGAGGGGCCAGCACACGCTGTGTTCCCTCTCCAGCTATAACTCTCGCGAGACCCGCGGCTGTTACCATGGCAACGCTCCGCACAGGCGAGTCTCGCGAGAGTTAGAGCTGGAGAGGGAACACTGCGTGTGATGGCCCCTCCAGCATACCACCGGACCACCAGGCGATCTCCCCCCTCCCTGACAAGGTAAGAAGCAGGGAGGGGGGAATAAAATAAAAAATATACATACACATAAGGTTAAAAAAAAATGCTTCCCCTCCCCATCATCCAGCACACATACACTCACACACACATCATCCAGCACACACACACCCATCATCCAGCACTCACACACCCATCATCCAGCACACACTCACACACACATCATCCAGCACACACACACACCCATCATCCAGCACTCACACACCCATCATCCAGCACTCACACACCCATCATCCAGCACTCACTCACACACCCATCATCCAGCACTCACACACCCATCATCCAGCACTCACACACCCATCATCCAGCACACACTCACACACACATCATCCAGCACACACTCACACACACATCATCCAGCACACACACACCCATCATCCAGCACACACACACCCATCATCCAGCACACACACACCCATCATCCAGCACTCACACACCCATCATCCAGCACACACACACCCATCATCCAGCACTCACACACCCATCATCCAGCACACACACACCCATCATCCAGCACTCACACACACATCATCCAGCACTCACACCCATCATCCAACACACACACACCCATCATCCAGCACTCACACACCCATCATCCAGCACACACACACACCATCATCCAGCACACACACACCCACATCATCCAGCACACACACACACACACACCCATCATCCAGCACTCACACACACATCATCCAACACACACACACA